ACCTTGTTATCTCAGATTTTCCAGCATCTGCAGTTCCTACTATCTCTGATACAACTTTTTTTAAGCATGGCCAATCCACCTAATTTGCATATCTTTGGACTGTATGAGGAAACCGGAGCACATAGAGGAAACTTACATAGACGTGGGTAGAACATGCAAACTCCACATAGACAGTCGCCCAAAGCTGGAATTGATTATAACTTATTAGCTTTGTTTTTCCAGTCCTGGAATATGCTGGGTCTGTCTGGGATCCTTACGTGGCGGGATACGTAAGTAAGATTGAGGTGATCCAGAGACTTGCTGCAGTGTTCTGCATGAATCACCATGGGAGATACTCGAGTGTCACATCCTTGATTGAATATTTGGAATGGAAAACATTTTAGTAAAGGAGGAACACAACTAGACTGACCATAAGGCTGATGAATTGACAGAAGCAAGTATTTGGTGTCCTCCAGCAATAACACAAGTTAGTCATCTGTACAAACTGCAAAGACTATTTCTTATAAAGACAGCTTATAAATAATCTTCCTTCAAGGACAAATCCAAATTGAAACCAACTGCCAAAGAAAATAGTCTCAGCCATATTACTTGAAACCTTCAAGGCCTGTCTCTAGATTATTTCCAATTCAAAGTTTCACATCAGGATTTTGGCAGGTCATGTCTGCTACCTATAGGAACTTTGGCAGAATGTGGATATTTGTCTGTGATGACCACTCAATTAAAACAGAACCATAGACAGCAGTGGTTCAAGAGGGTGGTTCATTGCCAAATTCTCAAGGGCAATTTGGATTGGCAATAATTACCACTTTTGCCTGTGGTGTCCACATTCCATGAACAAAACAAAATACAAAACAAATGTTACAAATGTCACGTGTGTGCAAGAGCTGCTCAATGGCTACAAAATCACTCTCACATATAAAACATATTGTTATTTGCATTTATTTCCAGTTTTGACATTTTTCAGATTTTAATCCCTTCAAGATATGTCATGTTTGCTGAAGTATACATTTCAAGTTGAGAACATTAAGCCCAGCATGATTGAAATTGCATGGTGAGAAATGGTAGCAGACAATAGTGTACAATGACAGTTCTTTTATCTAGCCAATACCAGGTGATTAGGTACGTTACAAGTCTTTGCTTTATTTACTAAGTTAACGATCGAAAATTTTGATTAAAATATATTTTTCCTTAGACTGGAATTTGATGATGAAGATGGAGAAGGGCCTAGCAAATTTTCAAGGTAAGTGAATTGGAACAAATGAGTTGAAATTGAAACTTGGGGCTTTGAAGTTTTTGCCATGCATTGCCTGAAGTTCCTTGTCCTTTGCGTTTTGGCCAGTATAATTGCTATTTGTTTTAAAATGGCAAGTTCTGTTTGATATGAAATAGCCTCATTTATCATGAACACTGGGTAATTTAGGTAAAATAAAATTGTAATGACAGTTAATACACAGTGATTTGCCAAACTATTGGCAAAGATATCAGAGTCATTGACATATTCCTTCATATCCCTTAGCAACATTTGGGTGGTTAAACTAGCACATTTGTCTATATTTTGATTGCCTATAAAGAAATTTCATTATCAAGAAAGTTGAAAGAATATGCAACATAGTAAATGACGAAGAACAGATTTGATATACAGTAAAATGAGGCGTCACTTGATAGACAGTGATTACTCCAAATCAAAAGAAATGTGATGACTTAAAAGTTGGAAATGTGAGCTGCTGATGACCCCTAAACTGCCAAATTTGCATTCATTTCTTTTTATCCCTCAGTTCCTTTTTTGTGGGGAAGGATATTTTTTGCCTGTCTCATCAATACTACATATGAAAATTTGCACTTGTATTCTAAGTGATTCACAGTATCATAGAATCCCTACAATGTGGAAACAGGCCATTTGGCCCAACAAGTCCACACCGCCCCTCTGAAGAGCATCCCACACAGATCCATTCCCCCAGTTTGCCGTGTCTCACCCACCTAACTAAACATCTCTGGGCACTATGGGCAATTTAGCATGGCCACTCCACCTACCCCACACATCTTTGGACTGTGGGAGGAAACCGGAGCACCCGGAGGAAACCCATGCAGACACGGGGAGAATGTGCAAACTCCACACAGACAATCGCCCGAGGCTGGAATTGAACCCGGGTCCCTGGCGCTGTGAGGCAGCAGTGCTAACCACTGAGCCACCGTTCCGCCCATAAAGTAGTGGATGGTGAGTGAACGTAGAAAAAAAGGTTTGGAGTAGTGACAAACAAAAGATCTATCGGGGTTTTGAAGATGGGTAGAAAAACCTTGGAACGTGTTGAAATGACAATCTTAATTGTTCTCTTGAGTATTGAAAAAAATCATCTTAATTGGTGAACAATAGCAGCTTGCATTTATAAAGCACCTGTGTCGTTCTGAAATGACTGAAGACTCCTCAGGAGAATTGTCAAGCAAAATTTTATACTGATGTATAGACAGAATGTTCGGCTGAGTGGTCAAGGAGATAAGTTTTAAGGAGTGGCATAGAGCTGTGGAGAGGACTAGAGAAGCAGTTCCAAAGACGCACAGGTAATTGAAAGCATGGTTGCCAGTAGTGGAGTGATGAAAATTGAACTATATAAGAAGCCAAAATTTGTAACAGTCCAGAGGCAGTGGAGGGGCATAGGTCTGGAGAAGATAAAGAGAGAGTGAGTTCATGAGGGACTGAAAAACAAACATGAGACTTTTTTAAAACACTAGGAGCCAGTGTGGGTCAATGAGCATAGGGATGATGGGTGAATGGGACGTGATTTGATCTTAGGGGATTGATAGAGAGTTTTGGACGAGATGTGTTTGCAGAGGGTACAGGGTAGAATCCAGGCCAGGAAGGCGTTGGAATAATCAAGCCTTAGAGGTAACAAAGACATGGCTGAGAGTTTGAGTGGCAGATGAGCAAAGGAAGTTGCAGAGGCAGAGATGGATGATGTTATGGAGGTGGAAGTAGGTGGTCTTGGTGAATGGAAAGCATGTGAAGCTGGAAGGCTAGTTTGAAGTCCAGTATATGCCAGGGTTACTGTAAGTCTGGAAAGATGCCCCATGTCAGTTACTAAGGAATGAACTTGATTTGGAGACTAAAAGCTTAGCTTCTATGTTTCCATTATTTAATTGGTGAAATTTTTTGCAGACCCAATGCTGCATGTTGAGTAAGCTGTGTGTCACATCAGAGGTATTAGTGCCACATGGAGTATGTGTGGAACTGATATATATTCAGATGACATTGTCGAAAAGCAATATGTAGGTGAGAAAGAGGAGGGGACTAGGAGTAGTTCCTTGGAAATCCCAGACATAATGGTGTGGGAGCAGGTTAGGGTTTTTTCCCTTTTGTTTCCTTATTTCTATGGAATTCCCTGTAATGATTTTCCTTCTTACTCCCACACAGTGTTTCCCTGCTACACACTTTTCTTCAGCAACATTATAAAATGTAAGAACAGAAATAGGCCATTTGGCCCATCTGATCTACTTCATCGTTCAGTGAGATCGCGTCCGATCTGATAGTCCTCAATTCCACTTTTCTACCTTATCTCCATAACAATTGATTTGTCAGCCTTGGATAAAGTTAATGACTGAGCCTTGAAAGGCCTGTGTGATAAAGAATTCCACAGGTTGACTACCTTCTGAGACAGAAATAAAACCCTTCTTATCTCTGTTTTGAATGGGCAAACCTCTACTCTGACACTATGCCCCCTGGGCCTAAACTGTCCTTCATGGGGAAACAGCCAGTCTACATCTACCCTGTCAAGTCCTTGATGAATTTTGTAAGTTTCAACAAGATCTCCTCTTATTCTTCTAAACTCAAATGGGTACAGGCCCAACCTATTCAACCTCTCTTCATCAGCAAATTCCTCTATCCTCAGAATCAAACCTGTGAATCTTACATGGATTGCCTCTAATGCCAGTATATCTATCCTTAGATAAGGGGATCGAAACTATTCACAGTATTCCAAGTGTGCTCTGACTAGTACGTTATACAGTTTTAGCAAGATCTCTCTATTTTTTTACTCCATTCTCTTTAAAATAAATGCTAACAGCTATTTGCCTTGCTGCTGAACTTGGACGCTAATGTTTTATGATTCATGCACAAGGTCATCTTCAGTTCTTACCTTCCCATCCATCTTTGTGTCATCCGCAAACCTGGCTACTATACATTCACTTTCCTCATCCAAGTAAGTAATCTGTAAGGTAAATAGTTTTGGCCCCTGTGATCCCTGAGATACTCAGTAGTGACAGGTAGCCAACCTAAAAATACCCCATTTAGCTCAACTGTCTGTCTTCTGTTGGTTAACCATTCTGTATCCATGCTTGATATACTCCCCCAGCATTGTAGGCTGTTATTCTATTAGGTAGCTTTTCGTGTGGTACATTATCAAATGCCTTTTGAAGATCCAAAATATTACAAATACTGGTTCCGCTTTATCTATCCTGTTTGCTTTTTCCTCAAAGAACTGTAATAAATTTGTCAGGCATGATTTCCCATTTATGAAGCTATGCTGATTCTGTTTGCACATACCATGTTTTTCTAAATGGTGTGCTCTACATCCTTGATAATAGAATCAAATGATTTCCCAATGACAGATGCTAAGACAACTTGCTAATTCATCTATTTTTTTTTGTCTCCCTTCTTTCCTAGTGAGTATTACATTGGCAGTTTTCTAATCCTCTGGGGTTTTTCCCAAATCTGAGGACTCTTGCAAGATTACAACCAGTGTATCCACTGCTACTTCTTTAACAATTCTAGGATGCAGTTAACAAGGTCCAGGGTACTTATTGGTCTACACCTCCATTAGTTTCTCAATTGTTTTCTAATGATAGTTATTGGAGGAGGCAATGGCCTAGTGGTACTATCACTAGACTGTTAATCCAGAGATCCAGGTAATGTTCTGACGACCTGTGTTTGAATCCTGCCAGATGGTGGAATTTGAATTCGATAAAAATCTGCAATTAGAGTCTAATGATGAAGCTGTTGTCGATTGTTTGAAAAACCCATCTGGTGCACAGTTATGATCCCTATTAAGCAGGAGATCTCTTATTCTTAGATCATTATTAAATCTACTTCAGATTCTTGGTTGGATCCACAACATTTTGTTCCAGGAGTCTGTCCCTAATACGCTCCAATTTCTTCCTCATGCCTACCTTTGCCAATTTTAATTTTGCCAAGATTTAAGTTATCCATGATTAAATTACCGCCTTTTATAACATGCCCTCATTATTTCATGGTCTATCTTCTGTCCTACAGAAGTTACTGTTAGGGGGCCTATCGTCTACTCCCTCCAGTGTCTTCTCTCCTTTGTTTTTTTTTAACTCCATCCATTTTGATTCTACCCATTGGATCCTAGATCATTTTTAGTTATCATACTTATTCTGTCTTGTACTTACAGAGCTACCCCACCACTCCTCCCCTCCTGCGTGCCATTTTGAAAAGTCACATACCCCTGAAAATTAAGTTCCCAACTTTGATATCTTTGTAACTATATCTTATTAATGTCAGTTAGTCATACCCATTAATCTTTATTTATGCCATTAGCTAATTTATTTTGTCTCAAACTCTATACACATTAAGTAAATCGGCTTCCATTTTGCCTTTTTATGATTTTATACCCCTTGACCCTATTAGCTACTGTTAATTTTATGCTTCTATATTCTGTCCCTCCCTGTCCTAATCTGGCTATCATTATCAAAACAGTTGCCTTGCAATGCTGCCACATCCTTTTGCTTTGTACACCTAGGTATCCTCTTTGCTGAGGAGGGCCCTATCTAGAACCCTGGTTATTCGATACACCAATCCTAACACATTTCAATTAAAGACTGTTCAACTGAAACACCTCCCTTCTAGGTGATGCCAGTGCATCATGATCTGAAACCCATTCCTCCTGCACCAATCTTTCAGCTACGCATTTAACTCATTTATTTATCCTGAGCGAGTTTGCCTGTGATTCAGGTGGTATCTTGAGTTTATTACCTTTTGAGTCTCTGCTTTTAGCTCCTAATGGTTCAAATTTTTTCAGTAGGATCTCCTTTCCAGCTGATCAATGTCTTTGGTCCTAGCAATAATGGTACCAATGACATCTGAAACCATGCAAACTTAGAACCAGAATATCCTTTATTGTCACATGTACTCCAATACAGGAGTACAGTGAAAAGTTTCTATAATGGCTGCCTTTAATGGCACCATCTTAGGTACAAGTATCTAGGTACAAATCTTACAGAGTAAAAAAA